TCGATCTCATTGTCGTGCCCTACGCAGTTCTAGCGTACTGGGTCAAGTATATCGGTATGGCCATTTGCTCTCCATTCATTGGCTGTCGGTCTGCTAACAAGTAACACAGACCAAGCAAACTTGAGTATGTTCACGACCGTTGATAGCCTCTGCCTCTTCTATCTGGCAACGTCATGCTAATTCAAAACAGACAATGCCTACGTCGGAGGAATGAAAGAGGAGCTTGGCTTCAAAGGCAATGAGCTCGTCGAACTCCAGACAATGTATACAGTCGGCGCAGTTGTTGGCATGGTGCCCTTCATGTTCTTGTTCACTTACATCCCCATGTACTGGACCATCCCCGCGATGGATATCCTTTGGGGACTTTTCACCCTGCTGCAATACCGAGCACACTCATTCGGGGAGCTGGCGGCGTACCGATTCATGGTGGGCTTCTTCGAAGCAGCCTTCTTCCCCGCTATGCACTACGTATTCGGTAGGAGATGTCACTGGCCTTTTTTGACTGGAGAAGTAGAATGCTGACCCCAACATAAGGCTCTTGGTATCGCGGGCACGAAATTGCACGGCGAGGAGGTATCTTTTACACGGGACTCAATCTCGGAACCCTAACCGCAGGCCTCATCGCAGCTGGAGCATCACACCGTCTTGAAGGTGTCAACGGGATGGCAGGCTGGCGTTGGATGTACATCATCTGCGCGATCATCACTATCCCTGTCGGCATTCTCGGATACTTTCTCCTCCCGGGCACTGTTGAACAACCGAACCGCTGGATCCTCAATGAGCACGACATCAAGATTGCAAAATCTCGCCTGGAACGCGGCGGGCACGTCACCCGCGGCAAGTTTAAGCTCGGACACCTCAAACAGATCTTCCTCAGCCCGCAGTTCTGGACCGTTGTGCTTGTCGATGTGCTGTTTTGGAACGCCGGTATCCATAAGAGCACAGGCAGCTTCCTTCTTTGGATCAAGAGCCTGGGCCGCTACAGTCCGGCGCAGGTCAATGAGATGGGAACCATTGCGCCAGCCTTGGGGATCCTATACAACATCGTGGCGTGCTTCCTGTCTGACTTGGTGCTTGGGCCCGCATGGGCTATCACCTTTTCCTCGTTATGGAATGTCACGGGCTTGATCATGCTTGTCGTCTGGGACGTGCCCGAGGGTGCCAAGTGGTTCGCCTTCTCGACGATGTACTGGTCCAACGCACTGTCCAGTGTCCTGCACGGCTGGGTCAACACCATCCTCAGAGACTCTCCGGAACAGCGGTCATTCACCCTTGTCATGATCACCATTATTGCCCAGTCGTCGACAGCCTGGACACCGTTGCTAACATTCCCGACTATTGAGTCTCCAAGCTATCCCAAGGGATTCTCTTTCTGTCTGGGGTGTGCTGTTGCGCTCATTGTTGCGACGCACGTTCTCGATGTTTATATCAAACGCAAAGAGTAGGTCTTGCCTTACAAACTCAGGAGAATAGATATTCTAACATTTGCGTTACAGAAAAGCGAAGCATGCGCAGCTTGAAAGCGGCAGCAGCCACGATGGTAGCTACGTTGATGCCCCTGCTGACGCTACCGGGAAGACTACGACCGCCGAAGTGACGGCAGTAGTCAATACTTCAGAAGAGTCCATAGCAAGACACTGATTGGGCATACCATTGATGTTTTGGTGGGAGCTATCTTATTCGTTCGTACAATGATAACATAGCAGCATACATGTAGACTTCAAGTACTGGTACTTTGTCACTGAACTGGGACTATGCGACGTAGCTGGTCCCGCTTTTAACAAGGAGTAGATGTTATTATCTACCCAAACCACGCCGGAGACCATGCTCTTAGCAAGTCTAGATACTAACAGTGAATACTACTAATAGCACATTGGAATGAGTGGGCGGAATTTCATTCAAACGTCGTAAATGAATTGCCCTTTTCTCCTATCACATCGTGCAAGGCTCCTTGGCCAAGGTTACTGTCTTGCCATCATGGGTGCATCATTATTGGCATTGGTTATCATTTTAAATGTGTAGCACTAATTAGCATCCAGGAAGCTAACATACTGAAGGAGATATCACGAATGCCAGCACTTGAGACCAGAAATGCGACTTCGCCGATGGCTACAAGCCACCGGGCTTGACTGCAACAAGAGTTCATCCAGGGATGTCGAGGTCGAGGTACTTATGGAGGTTTACCATAAACTTTGGCTTATTTGCGTGCTTTCTATGTGTTTACCTGAGACTGGACCCCGAGACTGTTGAGCGTATGGCTGAGGTGAATAAGATAAACCGCAATGGTTGCCAGGGCAGCCACCATCCACATCACCAACGCCGCGCCTTCCTGAGGTTCACCCAGCCACATCACAAACCTTCATCCGATAACCTTTTTTGCCACCAGAATACACAACAAGCCCTCATATACCCCTCCAACGCAATTCCTGTCACCAGCACAGCAGGCGCCCCCTAGGCCGGGGGTCAGGTCAAACTGTGGCGTGGTGGTGGAATGGTTAATGGTCAACATCAATTATCTTCGCCAACCAGCCTACTCGACGACAGGCTCAGCGCATACGAGTATCCAAGTTCGAATCCCAGCATGAGCACCAGAGATGTAGCCCCCAGTTCAGCACCGGGGGGGGTGAACTCTTTTGTGTTTTGGACCTTCTTATATTTCTTTCAATTCTCTGCGTATTTCCTTGTACGCCGCGCTTTTATTCTTTTCTTTATGAATTACTAGTTATAGAAAATCTGTAGCAAGCTATGGCCCGTCTATAGGGGAGGTCTTGACGTGTAGAACGTCGTGATAGCGTCATCTACTTTACTCTAGGCCTTACCAAGGTCATGTGATGTCAATCACCTCAGACAGTTGCTAAGCATCACCTGTGGTGTTTTCTCAGGCCGGTAGAATTAGTGTACGAACGTTAACTCCATTTTCTATTCCCTCAACTTATTACCCAGTCTATAATAAGTTTGAAGGACTATAAAATCTGCATACGACATTGTTATTGAAGCCCTTGCTTGGGCAAGGTAGTGCCAGGGAATAGAAATAGTCATAATTGACCTCAAATAAGGTAATTTAGATTAGTAGACGAAAGCCCAACAACGAACGTGTGGAAACAGAAATGTGCAATTACACGTGATACCTCTCTTCCTCTATGAACATAGAAGAATTAGATCACCAAATAACCCAGCTGCCGAGTGCGTACAACATGTGCATCGTGCCCTTGTCCATGACGTTTTCTACTCTCAGCCCAAGTTGGGAGGCCCGTTTCTCGAGATGCATCTGCTGGTCCTTTGAGAGAGGTGCTATGCACTTGAGAGCTGCTGTCATCACACTGCGTGCATTTGTCAACTCATCTGAGAACATCTTGAGACAGTTCCCACATCCTTGCGGAATAGTAATCTTGATTCCAGAGAGATGGTCCACAATCAGCTTCAAGTGCCCTGCGAAGTGGAAAGGTAGCCGAGGGTCCCAAATATTGAAGTTGTCTGTCATGCTCGCCAGAACTAAAGAACCGACGCCGCTTGGAATGCAGTTCTTTACGAAATTATTCTTCTCTTAACTTTGGATGTATTTCTGTCTTCCATTAGTCCAGGTGGAGGGCCCAAATAAAGGTAGTTATTGAACCGCGAACACCATTGGGTTCAAGTCGTCCTTTTGGTCTGGTTCACGGTCCCAATGAGCGAGTCAACATCCATGAAACATATTGAAGTTTGCGAACCCGCCCTCAACTACCAGACATGCCCCATAACAGCGTGACCCAGGCAAAAATCTCGGAGAAAATTGATCACCGCGAAAGAGCGTAATTATCTCATCACTCTCGGCAGATAGAGGTAGAGTTGTGATAAGCGCAATGATGTTTGATGCACATTGATTTACCTCTCTATACACCTGGAGAACGTGACCTGGTCGCATGACCAGCCTACTGAGACGATCGCGCCGAAGTGATACCGCAAGCACCGAATCTCAAGACCGCGGGGGATTGTGGGGTTAGTGCCGGCTTACGGGTCGGGAGGTCCACCAAGTGCCGGCCCAGTGACCGAGAGCTGCTGACTTGCACTGTCATGAAGCAAGATGCCCTTTAGTAATGAGAAAGCGACTACGTGAATCATGAGGCTTTCCCTATGACGCGATATGTCTGAAGTTTTCCAATCGTCAGATTCTTCCCTCCCTTTTTTTTTTCCTTTCTTCTATTGCAACCCTATGTTGATGCCACGCACGCGTCCAGTCCAATCCACTCATCCACACACTTCCACCACACCAAAAGAGATTTCCCCTTCAGGATCACGGTCCCCCTTGCACTTTTGACCCCAACCAATCAGACTCCGAATCGCTACCAACCTAGGCAGTTATTCGCATTGGCTTAGGCGCCTCACCCGCACTAAAGCCATGTTGGCAAGGTGCCATCGAGCGTTTTTCACATGCCCTTTTAATTCCCCAACTTGGACGAATGGCCAGTCAGAAGAGAACTCTTTGGGCTGGCTGATTGAAGGGTTCCCTGAAAGTGGCCTTGTTTGGACACAAGAAAGTCAGGTGCAGAACGGATTATACCCACAAGAACCCCATCTTCCCCCTTTTCCCAAGAGGAGAGCGACTGGCTAAGACACTGAGCCTGTCAAAAGCGCAGCTGTCCGCATTTGCTACCTCGTGCAGTCTTTCGGAGCCTGCAACGTCACCTTTTCCAACACCAAGCACTTGGTTTATTGCGCCAAACATGACAAGAAGTAAAAGGGGGGCAACAACTAATGTGCGCAGTGCAGGTGTCTAGATCTTGCAGCTTACTAGACTGATTTGCACAACTACCGCTAGCGCGGTGGCGTTCAGGTACCGCCATTCCCATATGTTCTCGCTAGGCTCCGTCACACAAAGGTCACCAATATCTCTCGCCTGATGTCTCTCCGTCAGTCTTGGGGTCCATCTGCAAAATCACTGGACGTGACGAAAACAATGTACCGCTTGGCAACGGAGTCCACCTCCCAAGACCCCAAGACCGTAGGCGAGAAGGGAGCTCAATATGACAATAGCAAAGGTCTGCCGAAGCGAAGCAGGCTCAGACCTTGGAATCATCTGCGGGTTCCTGGGGGTTTTCCTCTTCCATGGACTAGGAAGGGCGGCCGAACGCCACTTCCCGCGTGGCCGTCGCCAGGGTCAGTCTGTTCAAGCCGCAACCAACCACAGGCCTCGGGGCCGCGCCGCTGGTACCGATCCCTCGACATCCCCGTGGTCCCCCTTCTTCCGCTCGCGGGGCGCTTTTAAAGCCTTGCCATCTTCCGTCGCCGATTGGCAGATGTCCAAAATGAAACGAAGCCTCTCCCGAAGGGACACTTGGGGGCCCAAAAGCCATGCCAGTTCCCCCGGTGTTTCTCAAAACAGGGACATATTCGGATCAGTTGGTCCTTCTCGACTTCTATTGGTCACCCTTGAAGAGCCTTAATCTTTCTTTTTTGCCAAACTACATGTAATATGCACGTTTGTCAAGCCAGCCACAAGTGTCTGCGCTCCGCTTATGCGCTCGCCTCATCTCGGAATATTGGCCGTGCCAACCGCGAATCCGCGTTGACAAACCGGACGGGCCGTGATCAGAGCGCAAGGGGGCACCAGCGTCCGAGATATTGGAGCCACCGAGGATGTGGAAGTGTGTCCCGCGGCGGACCATGTCTCAGAGGAGCACGCTTCCTCCGTCCATCACTCCTACACCGCGTGGTGCACCCATTCTCGTGGGCTTGGGGCACGGTCTTCGAGGTGCGTAGCGGGGACGTACATGTGCCATCTGATATTCTAGACCGGACCACCCAAGTCCGATTTGCCTTGCCCTGTGCAACGCTAGACGACGGAGAGAGCACAGGGGGTAAGCATATATGAACCAGACTACCATCCACCCTCCTTGAGACCTCCGTTCTCTGCTGAAGATTGGACGCAGCTCTGAGACTCGGGGACTCTTGTCATTAAACAGGAAAGAAAAAAGGGACAACTCTCCTCCCCGTAGCCCACCGGGCGGCGGTGACTACAGCACAGTACCACTACGACTTGGAAGACGCAAGTCTAGATTCGACATGCGGGTTGCTCCCGCCGCTGAGGTGGCCCTTCTTTGTTCCAAGGGCTGAGCAGAGGAGAACCCTTGGTCCTTGGCCAACGCGGCACGCATCGCTCAATGTTACATCTGCAGGCTCACACTTGGCCTTTTTCCTATTGTATATATACAGCAAGTCCCATGATGAATGCTTCCCGTTCTGTCCTCATGGTCCTTCAACCCGCTCCTCGTGCGCCCTTCCCCCCGACGACAACATCCACCATCGTGATCTTGTGCCTCTCCCCGAGACATGCCTTTCCTTTTCGAATAGCCACAGTCTCTCTCTCTTCTCTCTTATAAACCTTCTTCGTCACAGTCCTTTCAGTTTCACTTTGGATAAGTAGTCTGCTTCAAACTCTATTCACTCCTTGAAGCCATCTTTGCAAGACCAGACATCCAGAACACCAACTACGGTTCCTTAGCTCCTAGAGCTTTGCATCATCGCAACAATGTACTCAAACTCCATCCTCTCAACCCTCCTCCTCCTTCTCCCAGCCGCCACCCGGGCCTGGGACTCTCCAAACTACTCTGGTCTTACCCGCCTCTGGCAAGATAGCTTCCCCGGCGCTTCAGGCGACCCGATTAACGGCGGCAACTGGAACATCATCACCAACCTTCACGTCAACAACGAGATCCAGGAATACACGACCTCCCGCTCCAACCTCCAAATCTCAGGCGGCGGCACCGTCCAAATCGTGCCCCAAAAGGACGGCAATGGCGCCTGGACCTCGGGCCGCATCGAGTCCCGCTACGTCTTCACCCCCGCCGCCGGCCGCCTCACCGTCGCCGAGGCCCAGATCCGCTTCGGCGACAACGCCATCGCCAACAAGAAGGGCATCTGGCCCGCCTTTTGGATTCTCGGCGACGCTATCCGCAACGGCGTCAGCTGGCCTCGTTGCGGCGAGCTCGACATCCTCGAGACGGTCAACGGGCAGCTAACGGGGTACGGGACCGTCCACTGCGATATCCTTCCCGGCGGCGCGTGTAACGAGCCCAACGGTATCGGCGGTAACATTGGCATCCCGGATCAGGGGTGGCACACTTGGCGTCTGCAGATTGATCGTCGGTCTGGCAACTGGCAGACGGAGACGATTACGTGGTTCCGTGATGGGCAGCAGTTTCATCAGATCAGCGGCGCCAGGATCGGGAGCGAGGGTATCTGGAACACGTTGGCTCGCGCGCCGTTGTTCTTTATCTTGAATGTCGCCGTCGGCGGTAACTGGGTATGTCGATGCCGTTACAAAGGCTTGTTGGCGATGGTTTGACTGACTGCTTACAGCCCGGAAACCCGGATGGCTCTACCATTGGCGGCTGGGGAAGCATGATGGAGACCGCCTATGTTGCCGTCTACCAGTCCACTTAATCTTGCTCCTCGTTAACCTAATCGGGCTCTTGAGCTCGTGTTAAACCTCGTCTTGTTGCTGCTCTTGCAACTACGCCATTCGCTGTACATATGCCAGCATCATACTTAGATACCCATTGTCCACTTTATAGTATATGCACACAACCACGCTCGCTAGATAATTTCCATAAATAATCTCACCGTCATATACATTACAAGCTCATTTGCTTAACTAGTCCAGTGCTTCTGAATGCTTTGCTTTGTAGTATTCATGGCTCATATTAATTACTCCTGACTTTCTTCAACAGCCCATATGTACCTGACCCAAGTACAACGATGCAGGCGTCCGTGCTCCAAGAAATGGCCTCTACTCATAAAACACCAAGCATCTAACCTCTATGCTTTGTCTTCCCTTCGCATCTGCGGGGGTGTTGGGGTCAATGAAGGCCGTGTGAGGCGTGTAATCGGCCCGTCCCGGCTTGCCGCCAGGCCGTCCTTGGCTTCTCGAGTCGAAGCACTTGATGAACATGGCTTCGTCAGGGGTCATATCTTTGGCGTAATACAGCTTATGCTTGTCGCTTGGTGCGACAGAGAAAGTCTCGCCTGCATTGATGTTAGCGAAATGAACGTGCTTGGAATTCTACTACAGTGAGGGACACACTCACCCTTGACATCGTAATTCTCCGTCGACCGCGCCAAAGCCGGGTCCGGAAGCACCTCCTTGCCCCGATCATCGTCATCGGTATCCGTCCTCCTGGGGTACAACAGATCCACAGCGATCAGATCCTTGGGCTCCGTCGTCCGCCAGTCAATCACCGCAAGCGGGAAGTCACTCGCCGGGTGTCCGATCGGTCTCCAGACATTAATAATTTGGTACCGTCCATTGATCAGCTCATCCGCCTCAGCTCCCGGAACATGCCTCCTAACACGCGCTTCCGCCGCGCCGGGCGTCTGGTCGACATGCACCTGCTGTACAGGCTGTCTAGGGCTGCTCTTCTCCCTCCTCCGGATGGTGTGGTCAAAAATCACAACTTTCTTCACACCGGGCAACTTCTCCCTCAGGAGTGCCTCCACTTCGGCATAGTAGCCGCTTCGCACTGCCTCATCGTCGATGAAGTCCTTCTCCTTAGCGGGTGAGTTGTACACGGCGAAGCCGGAGACGTCGGTGCCGAACTCTTCCGTCGACTCGCGGATGTTCACCACTGAGCGGCGGCGCTCGAGCCGGCTAAAAGAGGTTACGTCTGTATCGACCTTTGCCCAGGGCTTGCTGCCCTCCAGAGTCGCGGGGTCTAGATAGCGGAAGTTGCCGGTAGTCATTGTTGCGAGGGGTCTAGTGTGGATGATGCGGGGAATATTGTTGGTTCTGAGACTGGTCTTGATTGATGATGTGAGTATTGAAGTTCGTCGTAGGATTGTGCTCATAATAGTACCTTATATTCACGTCAAATGCAGGGCTGATGTTGAATTACACAATGCCGTGCGGGGGTCAGGAGACGGGAGTTTAAAAGGAGGACTCGTAGGGCGTAACAGGGCGCGCGAATGAGACGACTGGATGATTGCATCACCATGAACCCGCGGCAGTGGCCATTAGTCATTCAGGATTTCTAAGCTGTTTCTCGCAGTGTCCGAGACCCACTCCCGGGCTCGGCATCGATCGTGGGGCCTATTGATTTCCAATCGCCGACATTCCGCGATCCGAATTGCTGCCGTCCCGAAATGCATGCGTCAATCCCGCGGGGTATGCACCGCTCGGCGGCGGGAGAGTCAGCTTCACGGGGTTTAGATCAAATGCCCGACCGCCCAGTACACCACCAGCGGCATTCTGATCTATTCACTAAACAGTGCTTACTCCAAAGTGAACAAGCCGTTGATTTTGACTCAATACTTCGCGACCATAGCGAGACTTGTAAGTGTGTTAGATAATATGCATGCATGGTCGTAGTAGTCGTTATCGGCAAATACTTTCGCCTATGACTTATACATGACCAGGTAATTCAGTGGATCCAGTCGGGTAAGTTAAGTGTAAGTTATCTAGAAAAGGCATGGATAGATAACAAGACATAAAGTGGTTTCTACCGCGAAAAACAAAAGTTAAGCCGTTTGAGACACATCTTGCTAATTTCCGAAACCGAGAATCGAACTCGGGGCTATGCCTAACCTCTCACAAGATGAGAGGGCATCATGTTGGCCACTACACCATATCGGATGTTGATGCAAATTTCTGCAGGTATCCAGCTCATACTCAGTTGCCGTTGTGCGTATCCACAGCGGAGACGCAGCCATTTTGACTACCCTAACGGCTCCGCAAGGTTTGGATACACGAAGTCGCGATCGATGCAATTCAACTACACTACCTAAGTGTTCCATGTCACAAAGGGCTGGCGAAGACGTCTTATGACTACTTATGAAAGTTGGCAATGCACCAAAGGAATTCATTGTACTATGTGCAGGTACTCGATGCTACCGGAACCAAACTAAGGACATAGAGTCGAAACTCCTTCACCGACCAAGTTTAAGTGGCTTCAAAAGAGAATGTTTCGTATCATATGCTTGATCCAGTCTTGCATCTCAATATGCCACAGACCATTTCACGTGCCTCCAAGCCTCTCGCCTACTGATTCTGACTCTTGAGTCTGGTCCGGGCTTCGGCCTCCCTATGCCAGTCGTTGCCCAAGGGACTTGAGCTTTTGGGACCCTAACGGGCCCGCCGTCAGTACCTTCTAAATCAATACCGAGTATCATTTGCGCAGCAATGCCAAGAAGAAGTCCGTTTGCAAGGTGGCGGCCAGGGCTTTCACAAAGATGCACGGTCAGTGTAAATCATCAAACCAGAGAGAATCAATTCACGTACCAGACATGTTTGCCCCCTCCAAAAGGAAGGAAACCAGGCGGTGATGATGCATTGTAACCCAGTTCCAGAAACCTGTCACCTTGCCAGCTTTCAGGGTTGGCGCCCCATACTTTTTCATCACTATGTAGAACGCTAAGCGGCATCTGGACATTGTTCCCTTTCTTGAGGAGG